CACAAATCCGCGCTCCTGCTGCTCCTGCTCCTGCTGATTATGCGCCTTAAGTGCCCGAAATCAATGCACACAAATGCCCAAATTACATGCTGCAGCAGCACAGCAGCAGAGGCGGCAACTGGGCGTGGCAAAGCGTTGCTATTTTGTTTATTAATCAATTGGGAACATTTTTTATTTGTGTGAAAAGCTGCACGTGAGCGCAGAGCGGAAAAACTTGAAGGAGGAAATAAAATAAAAATAGAGTGAAAATAAAACTTAGTTAAGTAGCGTGTGCATTTGACACTTGTTAAAATATTTGCGCCTGTCTCAAACACACACACACACACACTTGAGCTGCTGCTGCTGCCGCTGCTTTGGTCCTGGCATGTCCTGTGCGGGGGTTGCTCAACGTTGCCAACGTCGCCTGTCGCGTATTTAGCGAACGTGTTTTCACAACTAACAAGGATGTTAATTTTGTTGTTGTTGCTGCTTTTGTTGTTGTTGTTGTTGTTGTTACTGTTGCTGCACGTCGTCCTTTTGCGGCACTATTTTTATTTTATTTCGAGCTTTGCACCAAATGCCTTTTCACACCCAGCTAAAAATGCTCATGTCCAGCGTCGAGGGTCCCGTATTTTATTATATATATGTATGTGTATACACATATATATAAAAATACTCTACAGACGAGCGGGTATTGTGAAATTCGTGAATAAATATGAATAAAAAATTATTTGGAAATTGAAATTTCATTTAGTTTACATAAATATTTTATTTATTTTTTAAATAAGTTATGAAAAATTATGTCTAGTTCAATTAAAAAAAAAAAAAGTTAAAAATAATAAAATTAAATTATATATTTTATTAAATTTATAAAAATAAAATAAAATAGTAATTTATAAAATAAAACAAATTAAAATAATAATGTATAAAATAAAAAATAATAAACATTTTTAAAATAAAATAAAATAATAATTTATAAAATAAATCAAATTAAAATAATAATGTATAAAATAAAAAAAAAAAATAAAAAATAATAATTTATAAAATATAAAAAATATATACATGTATAAAACTTTGAATGTTCGAATGTTTTTTAATAGCTTATTTATTTCTCATATTACTAAATTTAAGTATTTTATTTTAATATAAATATAACATTTTTACATGGAAATTTTTTTTAATAGTTAAATGAATTTTTTTTCTTTTTTAAATTTTTATCATTATTATTATTATTACATTTTTTTTTTATTTTTTTCAAAGTAAAAAAAAAAAAATTTAATAACCTTTTTCTTAACTTTCCTAAGTACGCTAAAATAATTAAACAATTTCTTATATTTTTTTTTTTAATTTATTATATTTTACTATAAATATGGTACGATATAATCGTCAGAATTTTTGCTTACAATTCATAAATGTATGTAAAATCCTTAATTATTAAATATAGAAAAGTTCTTGAACTAGGCCAAAATTTTGGATTTTCAAAACTATATAATATAAAAGAATTTTATTTATTTATTTTCCATATCCTCCATAGTAGTTAGTGTATTACCCTATTCGTTATAGCGCATAATAATTTATTGCGCTCGTATTTTATTTTTATTTTGACGCCATTCTCGATGTCCTTGCTGTTGTCGCTGCCACTGGCGCTTCTGTTGCTGTTTATTTTACGGGCAGTGGCGATTATGTGGCACCCGGTGCGGACAGGGGCCGGCACGGGGTGTGGCGGAGTGGGATCTAGAGGAAACCTCAGCCACATCCGATGCTCGTTGGCCAGTTGGCCATTTTGTGTTTGGATTGATGCTCGCCCCGGCCAGGCGAACTAAATACTTTGCACAAGCGAAGGACACATGACAAACGATGACAGGCCAGAAAAGGAAGTAGAAAGAGGGCGGTGAGGGGCGGTGGGTAGGCAGAGGTTGGGCCTTTGCTGCTGCTGCTGCTGCTGCTGTTGACTGGGTAAAAGCATCCTTCATGCAGCTTTGTGCTTGTTGGTTTAAGAAAATTATTAAGGATATTTTTGTGGTGCTGATGAGTTTGCCGAGGACTTTTTTCTCTTTTTGGCCAGGACATTGACCAACCAACAAGCAAACAGCTTGTGTGTGACGACTGAATGAGTGTGTGCATGTGTGTGAGTGTGTGAGTGTGTGTGTTGGTTAAGTGTGCAGCGCTCTCGCACAAATAGCAAAACAGGAAGCTCAAGTATGTTTACAGTTGACAACGCCAGAGGAGAGCTCTCTAGCAGCCAAAAGCCCCGCCAGCCTCTTGAATCGCAGTCGCCGTCGCAGTATTCCCATTCACTGAGAGAGTTCTAGTCCTAGTCGCATACAGGACACGTAGCTGGCTGACGCTTTTGTTTGCCAGCGAGTTGATGGCGAAGAGAATGGATTGTGGTCGGGGGCGGGGGGGCCGGCGATGTCCTGTGTGAGTTTGAGTAATGGACGCTTTTATTTGAGCGCCACACACACACGTAAACACACACACACACGTAAACACACACGCACACACACACACTTGCAGTCAAGGCTCTGTGTGTCAAAAGGGGTCAAATGGTTAGGCAACCCCATCCCTCCCACTCCACCTCCCTCTTCATTCATTGTTGTTGTTGTTATTTGCTTTGGCCAGCATTTGGCATCAATATTATTTCGTTCTATCCGCACATTGTCATGGCGTATCAATCACTCATATTATAGAATGTATATAGACTAAATACACTGCTGGCCATAATAATGGGTACGCCTTTTACAATAGTTTTATGGGAGCTATGGAAAGAAATTGATTTTATTATATACATTTGTTGTTGTAATTTTTTGCTTTTATTTTTAAGTGATAATGAAATTAATTTCGTCATCAATACTGAAACATATTCGTTAAAAATTTATTTTGTGGTATTTCATTGCGCTCAATATTTCCAGAGATAATTCTAAAATATCTTTTATGAAAGTTCACTTCTATAGAACCTTTTTTCTGTGAAACAAAGTTAGGAACTAATTTTGACAAATTTGATCGAATTCTGTCTGTATACAGTATATTTAACATAATCGAGATTTTTAGTTTTATCCAAGGACTTTATACGAAGACTTTTTATACGATTTCAGGTAATGATTATCATGCACAAGAAATACAATATGCCTAAGTAAACTTTCATTTTAGTTCTGGTATTTCTCTTCATTGCTGATTTTCATAGTATTATAATAATATATTATATATAACAATTTTATCTACATACATATATATTTATTATATATATTTTGAGCTCCGGTTTATTTGAAAGTCACATAAGTATTTCACGACCGGTATATTACAGCTACATGCTTCTATTCTGTTGACCTTGGGTGTGTTTCTATAAAGAGTATATTTCAGCATCAGTTGTTATTTGTTTGGGCTTGGTCGATTGCTTGATGAATTCTGCACTTAAATAGTACAAAATTTGTATGCCATTCATTTAGATGGTACACAAAGTGACGACTGACGAGTGGAGAGTGGAGATTGGGGATTGGAGAGTGCAGAGAGGAGCGACACGAGTGGGTTGTCGAGTGGCAAATCAACGATTGCTCTTTACATAGATTCCTCTTCAGTCGTCGCCCGTAATTGATGATGATTTGTGTTTATAGTCGTATCAATTATTATGATAAATCACGAATGAGAGAAAGGAGTGATATTTTTATTGTTTGTAATCAGAGATTGAGCTAGAGCCAGAGCCAAAGCCAGAGCTGCTGCTAATTGAAATGCACAACATGTGAGAAATAAATTAAAACAAATCAGAGTGACAGAGAAATTGGTAGAGAGAGAGAGACAGAGAGAGACAGAGAGAGAGAGAGAGAAATTTTTCTTGTTCAGCTTAAATTCTGTCGAGTCTCTCCGACCCTCGGCATTTTAGCTGAGCTGCTCAATGCATGCAGCATCACATTTAGCTGTGCGAATTGTCCTGGCTAAGTCCTTATTTGCTTACAAACATTTAGCAGCAACAAAATTTTATGCGAATGCCTCCTGCTAATCGTTTTTGCATTTTCAAGCACACTTAATGCCAAACGCGTGTCCCTGATTACCATATGAAGGATATTAGCTACTGTTGCTTCTCCTCCTGCTCCTGTTCCTGCTCCTGCAATTGAAACAACTGCGAGTGAGTGTGTGTTTGTGTTGTGCGTGTGTGTGTGCGTGGCCAATAATACTGTAAATTAGGTGGTGAAATGTATATCTGGAGTTATTCCTTGACAGTGCAAATAAGTGAATTATATTTTTATTTATAGGGGATATGCAGTATTTATTATTTGTTATGAAAGATAAGACGAGCTATCTCTTTGATTACTGCCTTTTTATCGGTCTCTCTCACTGTCTTTCTGTCTTTGTCCCTTTCATTCCTTCTCTTTCTGACTTTCTTTCTTTCTATCTCTCTTTCATCCACTCTTTCTCAATATATGATGTTCCCTTCTTCTTCCCTGGTGTTCCTTTTAGTCTCTCTCTCTCTTTCTATCATACTTTTCTTCGTTTTCTCCCTTTTTTGCCTCTCTCTCTCTGTGTCCCTCTCTTTCTTACTTCTCTTTCTTTCTTTAATGTTCATCGCTTTATCTCTCTATCTCACACACACTTGCTCCACATATGAGTCTTTCATTCTCTCTCTCTCGCTCCGTTTTCTTTCACTTGCTCTCTATCTGTATCTTTCCTTCTCTATTTATCTCTCTCCCTCTCTCTCTCACTCGTTTCCACTTTTATCACTTTCTTCCAGCCTATCGCTTACTATCTTCTTTCTGCTCTCTCATACTACTTCTTTCTTTTATGGATCTCATTCACTGATTTCCCCGCTCTCTCTTTAGTTTCTTGGTCTATCCCATTATCCTCGGACTCTACCTATCTCCGTCTCTATCCCTCTATTATCCTACGTTGTCTTCGATTTAAACTATTAATTAACAGATGCGATGAATGTCTTGTTTAATCACCAATTACTCAAATATTATTTCAGTGAATCACATTTTCTCACATCGCCCTTCACTCACTCTTTACTCCCTTCTCGCTCTTTTTTACAGCTATGCCGTAATCACTGGACTAATTGGAATGCTGTCGCGCCGTTGCATGAAGGTGCGCGAGTCCATTGAGCAGAACCAGAGCGTCATGTTGAGCCTGTTGACCACGCTGGGCTTCCTCACCCGCTTCATTGATGTTTGTGCGCCCGGTGAGTAAGCGATGCAGGCGAAGAAGAAGAAGACTTCGCACCTTGGCCAAGGTAAACAGGACAGGCTAATTAACCGGCTGCCGCTTCCTGTCTTTGCCCCTCTTTCAGGTCCTGGCGATCCGACACGTCTGCTCAGCGCTGCCAAGTCCACCGAGCTCTTCGGCACCGTGGCCATGCTCTCCGGCTGCGTGGTGCCCATAGGTAAGTGCCCGACGGATCTTAAATCTTAAAGAGAAGCTGAAGCTGAAAACAGTAGCCGTGCTCTCGGGAGCCGTAGCAGTAGTCGTATGGGGGTGCTAATTGGATTTGTGTGCGGGTTACGTGAGTTTTGTTCGCTGGCGGAAATTAATTTTGATTTTGTGAAATTGTGAAGTTCTCTTTCCATTGTTGTTCTCCTTTATGGCTATATATAGGTGTCTGGCAATATCCGCTTGCTGTACATTGCCACATCTTCTTCTCTAACATCGCCTTCTTCTTGTTGCCTTTTGCAGGTGAATGCATTCCGCCGCGCACGACCGCCTTGGCGGCATCGACTTTTAATCTTTTCGTCTCGCTGGCTTCGGTGGACTCGAACACTTTTCAGGTAAGTTGCTCGGCGGCCCCCAAAGCGCCCCGTGTTAGAGCTGGCCAGCTAGCTTTTCTATTGCTCCCCAGCCAGCTTCCATTCCCTCTACCTCTACCAGTCGCCCTCCCTCTCTTCCTTCAAGTGGACAAATACCGCTTAAACAAATCACAAAGTCAGCCGTTGAAAATTTCATTATGTGTCGAGTTTTTACTTTCTATACTCTCACTTGGGGTATATTATCATGTTGGGACTTATGTGCCTGATCCGACCGTTGGCTTACTTGATTTTATAGTATTTTAGGGACTACTTTTCATATATATATATTATATAATTATTATTTAGTGTATCATGTAATTTATTGTTTTTAAATCTAGTAACGAAAGCTTGGTCAGGAGATTCCTATGTAATCTGCTCTACAGATAGTGCTCTTATAATGAAGAGAATGAGATAATAATCTGCTCTACAGATTATTGAATATAATTATATAATATAATTATTATATGCATAATTCTTTAGTGTATCTACTTGTCGCTTTTAGACATCAATTTATCATTGTGGAAATTTTAAAGATTATACCTCAGCAATCTAATCTATAGGAAACCTCATATATCATATAGATCCAAAAATATTCGCCTTATAAATTAAAAATAAAATAGTATTATTAATTAAAATCGATTAGTTTATTATTTATCTTTTAATAATTTAATAGAGGAAATCCGCAATGAATATCATCGGAACTCTTTTTCAACTTCAACTCTGCTTCATATTCATAAATCTTCCAATTTTCAGGGTATTCAGTTTTAGTCTAAAGGGCGAAAACTTTTTTGTGTCCCTCCATTTTTGTTGTTTTCAGATTTTTGTTGCCTTTCTTTGCTTTGCACTTGAGAAGTTTGTCGCACGTGAAATCGCCTGAGAAAATTGAGCAAGACCCCAACAGCAGAGGCAAAGGCAACAAAAGCAACAACAACAAATTGTGGCTAAAAGTTAGAATTTTGTTTAGGCAGCAGCAGTAAGAAGAAAACGGAAAATAGGCGACTGTAGAAATGCTTCATATATTCAAATGTCACGCCTAATCTGGACAGCAACTTTTGCCTTAGAAGAGATCTATAGAGATCCACGCTGTACAGTTCTCTTACTCTTAAATTGTAAGAGATATATGAGTTTTTTGGCCTATGATTTGCCTCGCTCATTGCGAAAGTAAACTTATACTCAATATCGGGGTTTGGTATATAAGACTATATATCTGGTATATACCAAGTCTTTAGCTAGTAATATATATAGTATTTACGATTAGCCTGGTCCTTAGAGCGAGCATCCATAGAATTAGTTTGCCTGGCATGTCTCTATTCGTCTGACCAGACAAATGCCTTCTGCTCACTTGAGTATCATATAAAACCCAATATACCCGCTTGACACTTTCCGAGCGGGCATCAAAAGTTGTCGCCGTTTTGTGAGTTCGCGCGTTTTCGCAGTTTTTCTGTCATTGAGTGGCAGCAGAATTTGCATATTGGCAAAATGTCATGAATGCCGCCGCCTTGTCAGGTGACATTTAGTTGTCAACAGTTGAGCGGTGGTGCGGCGGTGCGGTGGTGCGCTGAAGGAGGCGTTGCTGCTGCATGACATTTGCTTAACTGGCAGCGCCAAATGACAAACAACATCAGCGCCATTGAACCGCAATGGCGGCCCCAACTGACATCTGGTTGGCTTGGGTGGTGCGCGAGGCTTCTGCTGCCGGGTGGTTCTGGCTGTGGGATGGTGTGGTGGGGTGGCTGCGCACATACTTCGACACTTTACTTAGACTTAGGTGGATGGGCAAGAACATGCAATGCATTGGATATGCGCACGCAGACAAGACAGGTAAACTGCAGGCGGAATGTCAAATGAAACGGCATGTGGAAGCAGTTAATGATTGATGGATGAGATTGATTGACTGAATGATTGCTTGACTGATTGATTGGCTGGATGAGTGACGGCCTGCTTGCTGAGTGTCTTAGCATTGCGAACAGTTTGATGGTCTGAATGGACTAGGAATAGCTTATGATTGATTGACTGATGACTGATGATTGACTAACTGTTAAGCAGACTGACTTGCATAGAAAGACGAAGAAATTTGTAATAGGATTTTAATTGAAAGAGAGATAAAGCTGTGCATAGAATGATTGACTGACAAATGATTGATTGACTGACGGACTGACTGTTAGGCAGATTGATTTGCATAGAGAGACTACGATAGAATATTAATTAAAGGGGAAATTAGACTGTGCATAGAATGATTGACTGACAAATGATTGGCTCATGATTGATTGACCGATGGAGCTAAAGACTGACTGTTAGACAGATTGTATAGAGAGACGAAGCTATTGGTAATGGGATTTTAATTAAAAGTGAGATTAAACTATGCATAGAATGATTGAGTGATTGATTTATTGATTGACTTTGTAATTCTGCAACATATTGTGCTTTGCATTCAGGTTACGTGTTACATGACTGATAGACTTTTAAAATATATGATAAAATGCTTGAATAGAGTTGATAGTTGATTGATTGATTGACAGCTGTTAGCATTATGATTGGATGACTGCTCAGCACGCAGTTTTCCCAATGAAAATTCATATAAGTAAACTTTATACTTCAATATCTAAGTGATTGATTGACTGATTGAATGATAGAATGATTTATTCATGATGCTTCATTTACTCAATGATTCGAAGAGGGCTTGCCAGTTAAACTACTGCTCAGATTGACTGATGAAACGTGAGAGTGACTGACTAGATTACTAAAATATAGTTTGATTGACAGACTGATCAGTTAACGATTGATTGACTGCTTGACCGAGCCAGACGTCCTACAAGTTGATTAATAAAACGTTTCATTGATCAAATAACTAACTGTTTGATTGTCAGCTTGATTGATTGACTGACTCGTTGATTGTCTGACTGATATACCATCTCACAGTTAAGTCATCTTCGACTTTGTTACGATTCGAACAGATGAAACGGCATTTGAAGGCTTGACTGACTGATTGACTGATTGAATGTCTGCGGCGCATTCGCTTGTCTACATTTCATTTCCTGCTGCGTTGTGTCAATATTTGTAGACCTGCAATGCCGCCCCCGCCCTCTGCCCCTCATCGCTCTCTCTCTCTCTCTCTCTTAGAGCTGTCTGTGTATTCCTTGGCGAAACGAAACGCACTTGACAAACTAATTTGTTGCGCAAACAGTCAAAATGAAATGAATGCAGCAGCAGGCAGAGCCCAGGCTGGCATTTGGCTAGCGGATTAGGCCAAAGTTTGTGCAAAAACTTGCCAGCCCATTTATTTGCTTTAAATTACGAGAGAAATAGATAAACTCAGGCACTCATCTCTGCGTTGTTTGGTTGGAGAAAAACAAAAAATTATGTATATATAACTCTTGGCTGGCAAATAATTTGATTTGGTTTTAATCAGCGAGAGACGCACAACACACACACACACACACACACACACATACACACATACAGTGTACACACGCACAACCACAGAGCAGCTCAATTTTCAAGTGCTGCTGCTGCTGCTGCCTCTGTCAGGCAAATATTGACTTTGTAAAATGAAATTTTCAAGTTTAACCCAAGCACAAGGCATACACACACACACAGAGAGAGAGACACGCACAACACACACACACACACACGCGGGGCAGCTACTGCCTGCCTCGCCTGGCTGATTGTTTTTTGAAGGATGCCGCCGCTTCGCTTCGCATCGCGCATCGTTTGCTCTCTGAGCCATGCACAAATCCTCGCTCATATCCTGCCTACTACATCCTGCCCCTGCCCAGCCACTCCCCGCTGCCCTCCGCCTTCTGCTAGTCAACCAACCAGCCAGGCACGTCAATTGTTTGGCTAAATATTTGCTCAATGCTCGTACAAGTTGCCAGTTTCAGTTTTGGTTTTGCGTTTTGGGTGTTTTTTGTTTTATTTACTTTTTTTTCGCTTTTGATTGCCCACTGTACGCGGCAGCAGCGAGGGTTGTTTTAGCCGTTCCTGTGCAGCAGCAGTTCTCGTTGATTACTGTAGGCACAATATTCAAGTACGTGTGATTAGCATAAATTAAAAGCTACTTAACTTAGAATGCAGCCCAAACTAGGGGTTGCTAACGCAGCTAATGCTGACTGCAAAAGGGTTGCATTCCAATTGCAATCAGATGAGAGATGCATAACTATATGTAAAGATAAATTATATTCGATGTCTTTAGCATAATGAACATTAGCTTTTTATCGATCATCATCATTATTAGTCTACAGACTTATTCATTAACATTAACATTAACATCTTGATCATCTTAACTCATGTTTACAATTCAGATATAAGCTAATAAATGATTTGTCGATGTTATCGATAACTTTTTAGCATGTTTTTATCGATTGGCTCTGTTTCAAAAATAATGTTGAATTTATTAAATTGAAATTTTAGAGCTTCATAGTTTCACAAAGTAAACTAATCATTCATAGCGAAATTTAATAATCAATTTGATTTTATATGATGTCTAATTTATATATTTTTTTTAGACCATCTATTACACCCTGTTAGTTAAAGCCTTTACTTGGTCTGTTCAATTCTAATAAAATACTATAAAATTATTTAAACTACATACATATATCAATGATGAATATAAATGAAATCGATATACATATATTTGCAATGATTTATCGTAATGGTGCAAAAGAGGCGAATATTTTATAACAATTGTTCAGATTTTAAGGCTTAACATTCCAATTGAATTCTGACATACCAGTCATAATCGATATCGATAAATATATCGATAAACCGGCACATACTTCAAAGCATAGTTATATAGCCTTGCTTTATACGCGCCACACACTTTTTGTGTATTATATTTTAATTTCTCATAGTAAACTCAAATTACAGGGCATCTCATAGTCTGTCATGAAATAGCAACTGTTCAAATTTTGTTTTTTTCCTGCTTTTCATTTTTTGTTTGTGGTTCGCTCTTCGCAGTTGGCCGCACGGCTGCCAAAACAAACAAATTAGAAGCGAGAGCTCATTGTCCGTTCGTCCTGCTGCGTTCCGCTATGCAAATAGATGTATACCACACACACACACACACACATACACACAGACAATTGAGCACTTCAGCTGCTGCTATAAACAAGTGCCACTCTTTGATATTTGCTTTGACTTAATTAAAACATTTGCTCAGCGATTCCACAATTTATTTTATTTCTATTTCCATTTTTGTTTTCTGTTTTCATTCGAGTTGTTGCCAATTAAATGAATCTCTTCCATGCCCCCATTCTCTTGCCCCGTTGCAGGAGGTGCTGTCCGTGGAGGGTCCTTTGTCGCTGAAGCTGCTGGACGTGATGAGCCTGATACTTAAATATAGCGTAAATCAACCAACTGCCAATGCGAGGGCCGAGAGCTCAACGATGCTCATCGATTTGATCGCAACCCTGGCGTTCTTCAGCGTGAACAATCGACGGCATCAGGAGCTGTTGATATCGGAGCCATTTGCGGTGATCTTCAAGAATTTGTCCAAGCTGCCGACACAGTTTAATCCGGTCATTTATCCATTTTTGGTGACCATGTGCTACAACAATGCCCCGGCCAGGCAGGTCATATCACGCGACTTTGATCTAGGGGTGAGTAAAGAGAGATAACACACACACACTCTCCCCCTCTCCCTCTCGCTCTGTAGTCCACTATATAACAATGGGCTAAGCCCTGTTAACTTTATAAACCTCTTAACGATCGTTTCTTGCAGTTCCTCGATGAATACAGCAGATCGGATGCGGCCAAGCGCAATCGCTTAATACAAATGATGCATGACAAGGGCAACAACAGCAACAGCAACAGCAGCAGCAACAAAAACAGCAACAGCAACAGCAACAACAACAACCAGCAAAAGTAGAGCCTTTGCTCTCTGCCATCTCACTCAGTGTCTCTGTGTCTGCCCTCAAGTGATAATATTTTCAAAGAAAAACAACTCGAAACATTCGAAACAAGTGGATGAAAAACTGCTTGGAAAATGCTAAAGGATTTACACATATTTTTACAATAATTTATAATCAATTGATATCTCTCTGTAGATATATCTATATATATATACAACGTATATATGGTATGCTAGTTATATAACACACTCACACACATACACTCATATATCGCTCATCACATTCACATTCACAAAACAACAAAAACTCGCTTAGTTTTATTACAATTCGTAATGTAATTTATGTTAGTTTAAAGCAAATGAAAAAGAAGTATTAATACATTCATCTTAATTTACACACACACACGCGCACTCACACAAACACACACACTCACATAAATTTTGGCCACGCACCTTTTGCAAAATTCTCAGTTCTTGCTTTTGCTTGTTAATAATTTGAAATATTTTCTGTTAATTTTTCCCCTCCAATTAATTTGTATTTGAACTTGTATTAATTCATGAAAGGCAAACTAATGTCATTTTGTTTTCGTTCTGCGGTTTTGAGAGCCTCCTACAACCATCCAAATTTTATTTTGTTCCAACAACATTTTGTAATTCATATATAATAAAGAAATTTGTGAAAACTCTTTATAAAGCCCATAGATGTTTTGATTGGAAATTATTTGTGAACTTCTGTAAGTACGGGAAATGTTAATGAATTATGTCTATAAAGATTTCCTATAACTTCCTAACTTCTCTAAAAATAAATTTTTCTCTTTTAATGCTATAAATTTTCTCAAAATGTTTTTCATATAAATATGATTAGGTTAGGCCTTTAGTCACATTTTTTATTCTAATTAATATTACTTTTGTCTTCTTCTCCTTTCATTTTTCGCTAATATGTTTCTTTGCATTTAAAATTATCTTTTCTTCTCCTTTACATAGTAAGTTTCTCTCTTTTGCATTTTATATGTTTTCTTGATTTACAAATTTTTTGTTTTCTTTTCTTCAAATCCTTTCTTCTTTCTTGTTCTCTTTATTATACGACTTTCTCTTCTTCTTTTTAATTAAGATTTTTCTCTTATACGAATACCTCTTCACTTTAAGTTTCTCTCGTCTTTAGCTTTCCATTAAAAGTTTTAATTAGTAAATATTTCTCACATCAGTTTCTCTATCACTCGTTCTGTTTTCCTGCTAAGTTTGTTAACATTTATACTTTTTAAGTATAAGCTTCTCTCAACTTCAACTTCTCTGTACTCTACTTTATAAGCTTCTCTCTTCAGTTCTGTGGCTTCAGTTTTATACAAGTTTGAAAATGTTGCTCAAGATATATTTAATAAAAATCTTATCTATATAGACCCAAGTTCTCTCAAGGATTAGCAAAGCGTAGATAATTTGAACGTGGGCTGGGGAATGCGAAATTCAGATGGTAAACAATATGTAATATTTCGTAGCCCAGCCCGGGCTGCGTTTCACGTTTGAAGTGTTGCAGACAATGGACGGGCACTGTTTGCAATTTCTTTTGGGGCACACAAATTAAAAACGACAATAATAATGTGCCGAGCAATTTGTGGGCGTGGCCTCGTCTAGATGCAGGGCAAAGCAGCAAGAAACATAAAGAACGAAGTAAACAAAACAAGCGAAACTCATCATCAGACGACAAAGTTGTCGACGTGGAGCGCCTTTTGTCTTGGGTCCTGCGCAGCGTGAGTGTGTGGGTGTGTGTGTGTGTGTGTGTGGGCGGATGGGCGTGTGCGTTGAGCTGTCCATTGTACCTTTGTCCAACTCGTTGCACCTAACCTGAATTATGTCACACGATGAACAGCAGCAGCGGAGGACGAGGCGCAACAGCAGCAGGAGCAGGAGCAGGAGCAGGAGGCGGTGCAGGAGGATTGCCGAAGAGATGGGAGTTGAGGCAGCGACAACGACGACATCTAATTTCTTTGGACATTGTACGTGTGGGTTTTTTAATGCTGCCATATGCACAACCCCTGCCGACGAGGGGGTTGGCGAATTCTAAAAAATACTGAGCAAATTGAAAGGCGGCTCGCAATAATAATAATAAGAATAATAATAATAAAAGACCTCAAGAAACTCTCTGGTGACAGATTGAAGTCACTCAACTCGAAATGAAATGCGACAGCGTCGAACAGTTGCACAATCAAACATTGCGAAAGCATCCAGCATCGAATGGGTCGATTGGGGTATATTGGCTAGGCGAGCGAGTTGGCGACATTTCCGACTCATAAAGTGGAAGGAACTGCGGTATAGAGACTGATTCGAAAGAACAGAAACTGCATGCTTAAACTGAAATCTTATTTGTTTAATTAATATTATTAATTATTGGTTATTAATATTAATATTACTACTATAATACAGTAGAATCCGGCTTTAATGACTCCGCTTATAGCGTACGTACGGTTATTGCGACGACAATTCTGATCCCAGACAAACCTATAAGAGCAAACTAATATGGGTATAGCGTTTCCGGATAAAACGACGGTACTTTGAACTCGGGAAAACTGGAATGATTCAGATATTTCTGGTTTAAGCATAATTTTCTTTAATCATTACAGTTATATTTCTTTTAGAAACAATAAGAAATGAACTACAATATTTTCATTTTTGCAGAGTATTAAGAGAGTCGTATATTGTATATATGAAATTCAAGTCTCTTTTGTTGAAACATTATTTTTAATTTGTAGCGCAAAATCAATGAACAAATTGGTGTTAGCAGAAGCCAAGTGCTTGACGGCAATAGAGAAATGGGAATGGGGTATGGGAAGGTAAATATATGTATATAGATCTATATATAGACTATATGGAGTTTATGGAACTGTGCAGGAATAGTTGGGAATGGGGCAGCCATACGCTGAGCACAAATGACAGTGCGTCAAAAGAAAAACAACCCTTTGCTGGTCTGATCCATAAAACCCTAATTGCTATGTAGATGTGTTCGACTGAGGGGGAGCTGTGAGGGCTACACTAATTGTCGACCAACAACAACAGCAAAAACAACAGCAACAACAACGACAACAACAACAACGACACCAACAACAATGAGAGCGTAAAGAAACAAAAAGTTCTGGAGTGACTAAGCAGGCGAGACAGTTCAGCGACAAAGTCAATATATCACAAAATACCAATTTGGGGCCGCAGTCGGCTCCTCAATCAAAATTATGACAATACGACAATAGAGAGCGACAATATACCCCGGGGAGCTGCGTTTTGTGTAGATTAGTTAAGCGTAGGCGAATGCCAATTATAATGAAAAAGTGCTCAGGCCACAGGACATTGCGTGCAAGCAGGACATAAGGCAGCCGGAGCTTTACGAGAATTACGCTATATACATAGATACATATATATGTGTATATGTGCGTATTCCATCTGGTATCTGCGTGGGTTGGGTCAACTTGAAGCCAGAAAGTTAATTGCAGCTTAAAGCGGCCACAGAACAAAGAGCAAACTGATTTCAAGGTGTGCTAGCCAAACAAGCCGACGAAGAACAGTTAGACAAACAAATTTCGCGCCTTTTCCGCAGAAGGCGAAACGAAATGGCAGCAGGAAACAAAAAAAAAACCACAAAAAAAAAAAAAAAGAAAAAAGTGTAAGGAAAATGTTGACCAAAGCAAAGTAAAACATTGAAGTAGATATTAATGAAGAGCGCCTTTTGCAGTTGGCCAAGACGAAGGTATTAATACCCTACCTATAGTGAAGTTGCCTACTTACACTTGGACACATTTAGCTTGCTTTTCTAATACTTAACTAAGGTAAGTAAATATTTTTGGTATATAAAATATAACTAAGCTTAAATAGAATATTATTATAAATGAATAGGCCTTTATTTTAGCTACATTCGAGATCATTAGAAAAGCTAGTTAGCCTTTTTATAGCTAAATTATAAGACAGCTTAAGGCTTAATTCTCAAAGAGAAATTTGATTTCAAATTTGTTTTTTTTTTTCCAATTGAAATCTGATTGGAATTCAGAGCTCGTTTGGCTGCGTGATTTAAGTCCAGTTAATGTGTCTCTGGCTAAGTGAATATGCCCATTGGCAGGACATTTCGAAAGGGAAAGTTGACGGTTCATTTGAGCGCTTTGCTACGTTTTTTTTCACAGTTTTGTTTGCTGCGCTGTGCTTGGCCCAAAATTGTGTGGGCAAGTCCTATTCTTTATTGTCCTATGTGTCTCTGTGTGAGTGTGTGTGTGTGTGTGTGTGTGTGCAGGACTTCCGGCCAGGATACGCTTCTAATTTGTTTACAAGCGACGGCCGCTGACGTGCTCGGCGCACATTATGCGCGATGCACGGCCTCTGATAAGCAGCTGGACACCAGCTCCGGACTGGAGGGGTTGGCCAGCTCCCACTCCCACTCCAACGTTAGCTTCAGCTTCTACTGCAGAAGTGACTTTGTGACGTTGTAAAAATGGGCTTCGGCATTGCGTGCGGCCAGCACTGATGACCTTACGATGACACCCAGCTGATTATAGAGGAATAGTCGTATCCTTTGGGCTTGCGTGCGAGCCGCAAATTCAGCGGAAATGTTGCGCTGCAAACGTTAAATTATGTAACTAACGCACGAGGCAGCGAATGGCCACTCCAAGTGGCACTGCAACTGGGCAACTGGAACTGGAACTGGAACCAGAACTGAAACTGAAACTGGCCTCATTGAAAATCAGCGAACCGCATTGGGCTAAGCCGCTGGCATGTTCATGTCGAGGTCCTTAAGCGGCTTTAGCTCGATTCCTTTGCTGCTGCTGCTGCTGCTGCTCATTTGCAGCGAAGCGTCAAGGCTTATGGACTGTGGACTATGGGACAACGGGACTGTGGCATACGCACTACGACTACGACTACGGCGAGGGCTGGGCGAGCTGTGTGCAACTATTTGTGGCCGGGCGCAGTCGCGGGGCTTTGCTTTCAGCTGCGAATTTATGGCCACATAAATAACGCAACAGCGTAAACCAGTGGCAGCAGTGGCAGCAGTCGCAGCACCAGAAAAAACAGCAACAAAGTCAATGGTAAAAGAACAAAGTATAATATAATAAGGCGAATAGAGCTATGCTCTATGAAAAAAGAGCTGAAGAGGTTCTTCTAGATATACTTTAAGTAGCTGGGATTGCCTAGCTTATGTATAACTAAATGAATAGTTAATTATTATTATATATATAATGATATACAGTGTACATATATGTATGTATATGTCATATATTAACTGAAATATAATATAATTAAAATATAATTATTAACTGAACAAATATAATATAATAGTACTTTACTAAATAAGTTAAATTTTCCTAAGGACACCGGTTTCTTCACTCACACATTCCAGTGGAGTTTAGATGCTTGAGTTTATATTCGGACGAGATGGACTTTAGATATAATTGTTACTAAATCATTTATTATAATCTAAACTAACTTGTTTCATTGAATACTAACCTAGTGCTAGTGTTAATGAAGTAACATACACATATCTATGCATATTTAGATTTTACACTATTATGTGTTTATGAAAAAAAAAATAATAATAATAATAACTTTTTTTTTAATAACATATAAAAGAAATTAAATTGTTTTTAAATACAAATAAAATAAAAGAAAGTATATAAAATGCTCATATTTTGGAATCTTGCACGTAACACATTTATATATAATTTTAAT